GTTCGGGATATGTTCATCCTTAATATAATCTTGCAATTAGCTTGCACTAAACTAGCAGATACTTACAGCTGTTAGCTACAGGATGTACTTTTCCCATCCATTCTGGTCTGCAGTTAGCTGAAAGACGGTACAGTAAAAATATTACCATTAACTTTATTGTGCATGCACATTCAAATGTATCACTATCAATTATGCTATTTGTATTTCAGAAGTCAGATCCGATAAGGTTGTCAATCTTACAGGAATCAGGTTCGGGATATGTTCATCCTTAATACAATCTTGCAATTAGCTTGCACTAAACTAGCAGATACTTACAGCTGTTAGCTACAGGATGTACTTTTCCCATCCATTCTGGTCTGCAGTTAGCTGAAAGACGGTACAGTACAAATATTACCATTAACTTTATTGTGCATGCACATTCAAATGTATCACTATCAATTATGCTATTTGTATTTCAGAAGTCAGATCCGATAAGGTTGTCAATCTTACAGGAATCAGGTTCGGGATATGTTCATCCTTAATACAATCTTGCAATTAGCTTGCACTAAACTAGCAGATACTTACAGATGTTAGCTACAGGATGTACTTTTCCCATCCATTTCTGTCCTGAAGTTAGCTGAAAGACAGTACGGTAAAAATGTAATATTCACTTTATTATGCATTCGTAAAGTATTCAGACCCAGTGACTTTTTCCCCCATTTTCCACAACCTTATTCTAAAATGCATTAAAAAATAAAAAACACTCTAATCTACACACAATACCCCATGTTGACAAAGCAAAAATCGTTTTGTTTGGTGCAACTTTATATGTAATAAAAAAAAAAATTCACATAAGTATTCAGACCCTTTACTCAGTACTTTGTTGAAGCACCTTTGGCAGCAATTACAGCCTTGAGTCTTCTTGGGTATGATGCCACAAGCTTGGCACACCTGTACTTGGAGAGTTTCTCCCATTCGTCTCTGCAGATCATCTCAAGCTCTGTCAGGTTGGATGGGGAGCGTCGCTGCACAGCTATTTTCAGGTCTCTCCAGAGATGTTCGATCGGGTTCAAGTCCGGGTTCTGGCTGGGCCACTCAAGAACATTCAGAGACTTGTCCAGAAGCCACTCCTGCGTTGTCTTGGCTGTGTGCTTAGGGTCGTTGTCCTGTTGTAAGGTGAACCTTTGCGCCTGTCTGAGGTCCTGAGCAGGTTTTCACCAAGTATCTCTCTGTACTTTGCTCCATTCATCTCTCCCTCGATCCTGACTAGTCTCCCAGTCCCTGTCGCTGAAAAACATCCCCACAGCATGATGCTGCCACCACCATGCATCACCGTAGGGATGATGCCAGGTTTCCTCTAGATGTGACGCTTGGCATTCAGGCCAAAGAGTTCAATCTTGGTTTCATCAGACTAAAGAATCTTGTTTCTCATGGTGTGAGAGTCCTTTAGGTGCCTTTTGGCAAACTCCAAGCGGGCTGTCGTTCCTTTTACTGAGGAGTGGCTTCCGTCTGGCTAATCTACCATAAAGGCCTGATTGTTGGAGTGCTGCAGAGATGGTTGTCCTTCTGAAAGGTTCTCCCATCTCCACAGAGGAACTCTGGAGCGCTGTCAGAGTGACCATCGCGTTCCTCGTCACCTCCCTGACCAAGGCCCTTCTCCGATTGCTCAGTTTGGCCAGGCGGACAGCTCTAGGAAGAGTCTTGGCGGTTTCAAACTTCTTCCATTTAAGATTGATGGAGGCCAGTGTGTTCTTGGGGACTGTCAATGCTGCAGAAATGTTTTGGTACTCTTCCCCAGATCTGTGCCTCGACACAATCCTGTCTCAGCGATCTACGGACAATTCCTTTGACCTCAAGGCTTGGTTTTCGCTCTAAAATGCACTGTCAACTGTGGGACCTTATATAGACAGGTGTGTGCCTTTCCAAATCATGTCCAATCAATTGAATTTACCACAGGTGGATTCCAGTCAAGTTGTAGAAACAACTCAATAATGATCAATGGAAACAGGATGCACCTGAGCTCAATTTCGAGTCTCATAGCAAAGGGTTTGAATACTTATGTAAATAAGGTATGTTTTAAAATTATTAATACAATTACAAAAATGGCTCTTTGTCATTATGGGGTATTGTCTGTAGATTGACGAGGGAAAAAACTAATTTAATCCATTTTAGAATAAGGCTGTAACGTAACAAAATGGGGAAAAAGGGAAGGGGTCTGAATATTTTCAGTATGCATTGTACATAATTGTAATGTATGTATAATTGCAATTAGTAATTTTATTAGTTAGTAACAATATAAGTAATCTATTTTCATATTTTACAAACTCAGGTTGACAATGTTTTTACAAATATAAAAAATGAAATAAATAGAAAGTGATGTAAACTGATGCACAATATTCATTCTTATTATAGGTATATTTTTCTACCATTTCAAAATATGTAAAAGTTAGAATATCTTTCATTGTTTAAATCTTGTTATTCTTATTAGGAAAAATGGGGTGCAAATAAAGCACTGGTTCTGAAAATAATACGTTTCACTCAATAATCATCGTTTTATATTTATTTAAATTGTTTACACTTTCAGATAGTTGTGTGTCTCCCTAACAGGGTGGAAATATCTCATGGTCCAGGTGTGAAAAATCCGCCTATAAATATTAGTATTTATGTGCCTGAGCTTGACCAATATGTTTTTCTTAAAGTCAAACGTGTCCCTTTTGTGCTAGAATACTAAGAAAATGAAAAATATCAACTTTTACTCCAAAAGTTGAGAGGTCCAAAAGGCACCGGGTAGTAGGAATGCCCCTTGACCACAAATTATTATATTTACACTTGCAATCCATTTTGACACTAGAATAAATGTTCGACTCATATCGATGCCACAGGCCGTTTGCAAAACGATAAATTGCCTTTTAGAAGCAGTCGCTCTTTAATACAATCTTGCACAAAACTAGCAGATATTAAAATACAGTATATTCTTACAGGTTGTCTTGTTCTGGCACACTATTTTACAAATCTAGCGGCATTTAAAATTGACTTAAGAGTTGCATTTTTTTTTTTTCATGTCTATGTCTGCAGTCCCCTGAAAGACATTACCGCAAGCATAGCCTGTTAACATGGAACATTTACTGTGCATGTTCAAATATAGCACAGCTAGCTAATGTAATGTACATTGTATTTCATTAGTCAGATACGACTGTTGTCGAATTTCAGAAGGCAGATTCGTCAGTGTATACAATTTCGCACAAACCTTGCAGCAGTTAATTCATACAGCCGTTACAGTTTTTCCTTCTAGCTAACGTTTCTTGGTTGCGAAAGCTGCTTGGTGGGCATGCAAACTTCACTAACAACACGTGGTGCTCTGCTTTGGCTGGATATTATTTCACATATCATTTTTAAAAGTGACGATTGGACAATTAATGTCAATAGCTATCTGTCGTGCTTTCTTTGTTATAACTGCAGATGCATAACTAACAGTCTTACTTCAATTGACCTTCGCCTGCAAGCTAGCTCAGATGTCAAGTTGGACTCCGCAGATAAAAGAGATCCTCCAACCGTTTCGTGAAGTACTTATACTCAAATTCATCACACGATTCAAAATCTCCGATTCAAGCATTGGCGAAAGTGCCAATGAAATCGCGTTTTTCTCGATCGGAAGGCGCTCGGCTGATTGACTCCATTCAGATTTGTCGCCGTGATTTCTGATGACGCACCAGCTAAGCGCGCAATTTGAAATGTACCAGCTATTTTTTAAAATTTTGTTTTACCTTTATTTAACCAGGTAAGCCAGTTGAGAACAAGTTCTCATTTACAACTGCGACCTGGCCAAGATAAAGCAAAGCAGTGCGATAAAAACAACAACACAGAGTTACATATGGGGTAAAACAAAACATAAAGTCAAAAATACAACAGAAAATATATATACAGTGTGTGCAAATGTAGCAAGTTATGGAGGTAAGGAAATAAATAGGCTATAGTGCAAAATAATTACAATTAGTATTAACACTGGAATGATAGATGTGCAAGAGATGATGTGCAAATAGAGATACTGGGGTGCAAATGAACAAAAATAAATAACAATATGGGGATGAGGTAGTTGGGTGGGCTAATTTCAGATGGGCTGTGTACAGGTGCAGTGAACGGTAAGGTGCTCTGACAACTGATGCTTAAAGTTAGTGAGGGAGATAAGAGTCTCCAGCTTCAGAGATGTTGGAATTCGTTCTAGTCATTGGCAGCAGAGAACTGGAAGGAATGGCGGCCAAAGGAGGTGTTGGCTTTGGGGATGACCAGTGAGATATACCTGCTGGAGCGCATACTACGGGTGGGTGTTGCTATGGTGACTAATGAGCTAAGATAAGGCGGGGATTTGCCTAGCAGTGATTTATAGATGGCCTGGAGCCAGTGGGTTTGGCGACGAATATGTAGTGAGGACCAGCCAACAAGAGCGTGTGGGTAGTGTATGGGGCTTTGGTGACAAAACTAATGGCACTGTGATAGACTACATCCAATTTGCTGAGTAGAGTGTTGGAGGCTATTTTGTAAATGACATCGCCGAAGTCAAGTCACTATCTAGCCGTGAATCTAGCGGAGTGAATATTTGTCAATTAGCTACTTAATTAATTTAACTTGCTTCTAAATTGCTCATATTTGTATTGTTAGAAAATTGGAAATTGGCTGTTCAGTACACCATGGATGTTGGTTCACATTTACAGTAAGTTCCGTATATAGTTAGCCAGCTAGCTACGCGTTAGTTAACTGTTGTTTTCCCCACCCAACTAATTATTGCTAGTAAGCTAACTTCTTAACTAAATAATGTCGATTTCCCCCCCAAAAATGTGTGAATAATATTACATTTTATAGTTCTAGATGTTTCTTTGATACAGCTTAATACTTAGATTTACATGGCATAATCTTGTCGTTCATGCAAAAAGTTAGCTAGCTGCAAGCTAGTTTAGCTGTCAAGCGCGGAGTCCTTTAATAGAAGAGACGGCCTGAGTTTTAAACAAATGTGTTGGTTTTACAGGAGTTTTGAGCAAAGTTTAAACAACTATTCTGGAGACGACCCCCTCGATCCATGGGACAGGTAACTTGTGCAAGCATTGTATATCATCATCAAAGGGGGCCACCAACAAAAAGTAAACATTAAAGAGTTATTCATCTGCCATTGATTGGATATTTTCACATGCAAATCGCACTTGGTTTGAGAGCAACATAACTGATTTTTTTTTTATATCGAAGTACTGATGAAGCAGGCAAGCAAGCAAGTGATTGTGATTAGTCCTCTATGTTTTTTGGCCAGCTTGAATTTGTTGGTGTGTAACTCTTTACCATACATTTACACTTTCAGGTTTATAGAATGTCTAGAGAAGAGATTACCTGCTGAAGACTCCAAAGGGATGTCTCTTGTGCTAGATCGTCTAGTACAAAGATTTCTCCAAGAAGAGCGATACACCAATGACATCCGATAGGTAAACTACCGCATGAAATGTGCAAGTTAGTACAATGAGCCCATCAAACTATACAGCCACATATACAGTAAGGGCATTGGCACCAGAGCTGCAGTCCTCTATGTGGCGTGGGCTCAACAGTTTGAGCAGCAGGGCCTGCTTCAACAGGCTGACACGGCGTACCAGAGAGCCATGGAGAACCAAGCTAAGCCAGCTGACACTGTCCACAGGTGACTTGAAGTATTGTGTTTACCTTTCCATGTTGATGTTTCCATTGTTGATACATTTTAATGTATTCAAAGGCTATTCCAAACCAGGACTTCTGGAAGTGGGACAGGGGCTTCAGGTGAGACTGTTTTTGTGTGTATTTCTTCCTTCTGGACTGGTTCTTTGGCTGTGGAATTCATAAAAAGAAACTAATTTTTCCACTATCTAACCTGTGTTTATGAAAACAAAAGCTGTACAGAATCTTCTTCAGAATTCCAACTTGGTAAATCAGCTGCAATCCCACAGAGAGCCCAGCCCACAGTGCAAGGTGAGTAACTAACATTTTTTGTAGTTTCAAAATTGGTATACATTGGTTAATGGCCATTTCTCATGTGTTGTTCATAAAAAGTGATCAATATTTCTTTTTTTTGCCACAGGACCACAAACGTCTGTCCCAACTCCCTACAGACAGAACCGTTCGCATGTAAGTCATTAGACAGAATACCAATAATTTTTCTTGTCCCTTCATTAATATTTTAGGAACGTTACATTATATTCCCTCTAATGAAATTACTCTCCCATAGAATCTCCCGGTCTGAAAATGTGGTGGTAAATAAACCCAATCAAGGTCCGGTTGTGTGCCTGCAGACAGTGTCGATGTACCGTACGGAAGACCTCGTCTGCGATGGGTCTGAACAATGCTTCGAGGAGGTCAGAGCCAGACGATACTTTGAGACGCAAGCAAGAGGAGAAACAGAGAGTTTGGTAGGATCAAATGACTTCTTAACCCAGCGCTGTTCCATCGCACTCCTCTAAAAGAGTAGAAATGCAAGGCTGGATTTTACAGTGTAGTCAAGGACATCAATATGAACTGGCCACATGACATCCTTTACAGACACCCTTCATCTAAATCAAATGCATTAACAGCTGGTTGCATAACGTACTACCACAGGGCTAATTGTGGGTTTTGACCAACGTTTTCTTTGTGTTCTGTAACCAGAGGAACGTCAGAGGTTGGTTAGAGAGCAGGAGGAGAAGGAGGTAATGAAGATGAACCGGATGCTGGAGAGCAACCTCTGTGTGAGCTCTACAGGCCAGGGAAGCTCAGACAGTGCTCTACCAGTGCAGCAGGTGAGAGAAAACGCATTGCCTTTTTATCTTTAGTCGTTTCTGTTATAGTTTCCCTAGTACCCTTTTTTTTTAAACGTTGGTATGCACTTCTGTTTCAGGCACCCTGCACACCTGCAACAGGTCTGAATCCTGAGTTCCTCCAACATTCCTTTAGGCACCCTCCACTCTCGAGCAACCTCGGCATCAAACCCACTCCAGGCTTGAGACTGAACAGTGGACAGTACCCCAGACAAGGCATGGTAAGGGAACCTGAGGCACACCTTCAGTGTGAACGTCTCAGGGCTCCCATCACAGACACTCTGTGCTCACAGAGATCCATTTCCCCATCTGGACAGTTGGAGGAGGTAAACACCTCCTATAGACGTTCCCTCCACATGCCAGAAGCAGCAATGGGTCACTTGCGTCAATGTACAAAAGCTCCAAAACCATTTGCAGTCACTCCCCAGGCATATTCTCTGCAAGCTCCAACCAGAACAAAACCCTAAGCCTTTCGGATTGTCATTTGGATCGGCCTCACAGAAGCCAGCAGCCTACAGATCTGACGTGCAGCTCGGTGGAGTTCCACGTCAGGGTGGCCACTCCCATCTCAGCAGCATTTTCCAGCAGCACAACGGCAGGGATCATCAGTAAGTTCTAATGAGTCATCATGTCCCGAGATTGGTCCTGGTTTTTCAGATGTGTAATTGTTCACAACCAGACTTAATTACATCTCTTAAACCGCTGCTGAGTCAGGGTGAAACGCCTCAGAGATTAAGCTGATTTAATTTGTTTCTAATTAATTCGCCGTTTATCATCTCCAAGCTAATCTTTTTTTTTTTTTTTTTTTCATTGAGGTGTCTGTCAGTGAAGCTCCTGAGTCTGAGGTGAAATTAGATGGTGAGTAAAGGATCGTAACCTGGGCCTGTTATCCCCCTCATTGGAATCCGTATGGGAATTAAAAGATTGTTTAATCACACCGTCCCTCACTCGCTCCTATTCTCTCTGGCAGTGTCACAGGGAGGGACTGGAAACCTGTCCCATATCACTCCTAAAACTTATCTGGGACTGGTGCAAGCCACCCCGTCCAGGGTGCTCCCGTCCCCCACAGTCAACACACGGGAGGCACTTATTTGTGACTCAGTCATAAACCATGTTGTGTTTACATATTGGTGATTTAGATGTCTAAAATGCAGGGGGGGAAACATTGTGTGGTGCTATCTTCTACACCCAATCACTTTTTTAGTGGAGATATTCTATGGTAAAGACGGTACAACCAATGGAGTCCTTAGTATCTCACCTCTCTTTACCCTCACCTCCAGATACTATCATGGACATGTTCCAGGCTCCAACCCTCCTGCAGGAGGACCAGTTCCTTAGCATGTCAATGCATCCGCATCAGGCGGAGAAGAGCTTTGATGCTGGATACCAGAGAATGGGTAATTAAATTCCCATCTTATTGGAACTTCTCAAAACCTTTGTTTAAGAGGTAAAAGCAAACAACAAACAATAAAAGTGACACATAATGGCGGGTCGCCCTTTTTGATTTTACATACAGTGGTTAAATGGTTTTTCTATTATTTATAATTTTTTTGTGTTATGTTATGGAGGCGCTGCTTGGTTCAGCGAGCCCCCCAGTGCAGTCCCTTTCGCCATCTTTCAGGATGAGAATGACATAAAGGAGAACTGCAGGTGAAGCATTGCATTTATTCACCTGCATCTCTTTTTCTTTGCCATCTCTTTCATTCTCAAAGTACATTTATAAACAATGCATTGTGCTTCTCCTGCTCCATTTAGTGCTGCTACGGTGGACAATGCCAAGCCACCAAGGGAAATCCCTGTATCTAAACCAGAGAAACAAAATGTAAGTGCACGATTACATGGTGACATACCCATGTTCCTTCAACAAGGACTCAATGTTGATGATGGTTGGGTTATTTTAAGTTGAGTACACAATGCAAACCTTTATTGTTTCCTCTGTGTGTGTGTTTTTTTTAATCAGGAATCTCCGTCGGAATTGATACCAGATGAGAGCACTATGTGGGGAGCGCGATACAACTCCCTGGCCGCCTGCCCTAACAGCACCAGAGACTTTGCCCTGTCAGCTCACCTGGTCTCCACGCCCTTCCAAAACAAAGCTCCTTACTCCTGGGACTTTGCGCCGGACCAAGGTAGCCCTCTGTCTGAGCTCATACAGGATGCAACCAACTGGTACCATAGGGCTCTGGTCAAAAGTAGTGCACTATATAGGGAATAGGGTGCCATTTAGGATGCTACCATAGGCTGTTCAGAAATCAAATGCCCTCACCTGGCAAAACGTTTCTGTAGTTCAGAACAACAATGTGGTCTAGAGCAAGTACTTTACCTATTTTGTCTGTTTCTTTCTCCCTCTAGAAAATGATCACCCCAGAGGCTTTGGTGGTCCGGAAGAAGGCCCTTTACTACGACAGCCCACAACTCAGGTACTTACCGGTAACCCCCTATTGTAGACTACCGGTAACTGCAGTGTACTGAATATGTTCACGTTGTTTGTTGGTCCAACGTTTTTGAGGTGTAGTCGAGAGTGTGTGGGTCAAACCAATGCAGTTGCCTCCATGGCGGTGATAATGACTTCCTCCGTCAGCCCTATCATAGAGCAGAGCCCACCTGATGGGCTACCTGAGACAGGCGCTGAGTGCTCTATGAGGGCACAGGGCTTTGCTGAGCAGGGCACCATTGTGGGAGAAGGACTAGCCCAGGCCCAGCGAAGCCTGGCTACCTGCTCCGTGACTGAGGTGCAGCATCATGCCCCGGCCGCACTGTCCTTCAGAGACCAGACTGCCCCCCTGGCCCATACTGAGGTGGCAATGGCCAAAAGCCCTCCTTCCAAGGCCTCGAAGCCAGACTGGGATGTCTATGTGAGCCCAGAGCAGTCCTCAAAGCCAGCTTGTCCTCTCCCACAGTGTGACCCTGTGGCAGAGGCATTCCTTTCAAAGAGCCAGATCTATGCCCTCAAGTCCAACTTTGATGTCCCAACTTGTCCAGAGAAGGCCCCAACGCCTGCCTTCGATATCCCAATGAGTCTGGAGTGTGCACCCAAGTCAGACTGGTTAGTGGTCAAAAAGCCAAGAGGTTGTGGTTGAACCCGACCTGGACTTGGATGCCTTCATGAGTTCCCGTCAGGGTCAGAGAACAGTCTGCATCCCTCTGGAGACCATGGACATCCCCATGAGTCCAGAACCACCAACGTTTGGCTTAGATGTTACCATGAGTCCATTCCAGTCGTCATCAAAGTTCAGAATGGATATTCCTTTTAGTCCAGCTCCAGAGGTGAGGTACGGCGTGGATATTCCTATGAGCCCAGACCAAGGTTCAAAGGTGAACATGGATGTGCCCATGAGTCCAGCAGCTCAAGGGGCAGCAGCTGTAGAGCTGGTCTCCAACCCCTGGGATGAGGAGCTGATTTCCTCTCTGCTCTCCAAGCTGTCCACGCCACTCACCTCCCAGCCTAACTTCATCACCTGGCAGTTCAAAGTCCCCAGCATCGCACCCAAGATGACCATCAAGATGGGTAAGAAAGTCTATCTTTGTGTGTTTTACAGGCAGTGACATAAAAAAAACAATTTGATGACCATCCACAGGTGAAGGTTCCTTACGGGTTGACTGTGTACTCGGACAGGGTGCCTTTGCCACAGTCTACCAGGCAACTGACCTAAACGCCTCAGAGAAGATGATTTTAAAGGTAAGATGGATCTTGACTTTATATTAATTTAAAATGGTTGAATCCCCTGACATTTCAATGAAATTAGTAGTAATTGTTTTGCCGCTGCCATTAGTAAGGCCAGAGAACATGGCAGGTTGATATGGAGCTGGCCCTCACAATTCTTGCACACTATTGGATGATTGATTGTCAATGCTTGTATGCGTCTTTCTTCATCTACAGGTGCAGAAACCAGCCAATCCGTGGGAGTTTTACATAAACTCTCAGCTGAATGCCCGGCTGCAGCCCAGCGTGCGCCACCTCTTCAATAACATCCACTCTGCCCACCTCTTCCAGAACGGCAGCGTGCTATTGGGCGAGCTCTACAACTGTGGCACCCTATTGGTGGGTAGTAACCCCTCTTCATCACCCACCAGGCTTTATCAATCAATTAAACATCAGGGCTACGTCCCAATTATATCTCCTTCTTCCCAAAGTGTGCAATGGTTCACTTCCATTCACTGATTTGAAAGGAAAGGACTGGTATAAGAAATATTGTGGAAACACCCTCTAGCCCATGCCTGCACCAATCCAATGCTTTTTTTGATTTGTGGGAAGTAGTGAACAAGTTTAGACTTCAGGAGAAAGGAGATCTTATTGTGATTCACCCAAGGACAGGCCACAGCAGAGCACTGAAAGGAGTCAAACATGTTTTATTGTTCCCCTCTAGCATGCTGTAAACCTGTACAAGAACCTTAGTGACAAGGTGATTCCCCAGCCTCTGGTGATGTACTTCACTGTCTGCATCCTGCACATGGTGGAACAGCTGCACAATATCCACATTGTTCACGCTGACATCAAACCAGACAACTTCCTGCTGGGAGAGAGGTAGGGATGGACTAGGGAGGTCCCTGAGTGTGTGTGTAAAGGAAACCTGTATCAAATCCTAAACTTAAAATGTTCAACTGTGTCATTTCAGTGAGAAATCTTTTTTATTTTGAGTATTCTCCCTCCAGGCATTTAGTAGTGGGTGGATGCAGTACTCTACCAGGGATTTCCAATGTCTCTTCTTAACGGTTTTAATTGTTTACCTGTTGTGCTTTAGGTTCCTGGAGAACAAGTCTTTTGACCAAGATAATCTGGATCATGGCCTTGCCCTAATTGACCTGGGTCAGAGCATTGACATCACTCTGTTCCCAAAGGGCACGGCTTTCAATGCCAAGTGTATGACCTCAGGCTTCCAGTGTACAGAAATGCAGAGTGGGAGACCATGGAACTACCAGGTAAAGAGTGTTTGTGTGCCTGTGTGCGTACTTGTGTCCTCTTGTTCTGATGGTGGATGTCCGATAATACCTGTTGAGGATATTTGTGTTTTTAGACAGAGTACTTTGGAATAGCTGGAACAGTGTACTGCATGATTTTTGGAACGTACATGCAAGTAACACAGGAGGGTGGCGTGTGGAAGACAAAGTATTTAGAAGGTAACCCTTTAGTAGGAGTGGTTGTTGTTTTTTACACAATCCACAACTTGTATTTTTTGCTCTCAGTAACCCCTTGAATATATTTGTTTTGATTTTGAAAACATCTCCCCCACTCCACCCTAAATCTGTCCAGAATAGTTCAAATTCACACTACTTTCCCTTTCCCCTTGTCTCTCTCTCCTCCAGAAATCCCCACAGTGATCTGTGGACAGAGTTCTTCCACACTCTGCTGAATGTGCCTGACTGCAGCTCCCTGGCCTGCCTGCGCAGTAGACTGAGCACCGTGCTCCAACAGAACTACAGCAACAAGCTGCCATCGTTGAAGACCCGCCTGGTCATCCAGCTGATAGAGAGCAGGTCGGCACGGAGATAGAACTCCCTGAGAACCTTACTACTCCTGGGTCCTGTTCAGTAGGTATAACATTAAAGAAAGCGGTCTGAAACTGAGTGGAACGGGGAGATACTGTCTGGACTTTATTAACGACCCTAATGAACACGACCCTGGATGGATACTACTGCGATGTCTTACTTCTAGTCCATTTGTAAATACAAGATTGACCTTATCGGGTCCAGTCATTGTGATAACCTTTTATGCATTTTTAATGTTGTTTTAGTGATAACCTTTTGTCCATTTTTAAATAACATAAAATGTGAGGTTGGAGATATTATGATGTATTTTCATTTGTAAATAATTTAAAAAACCTTTTCAGTCTCGGAAGTGTAAATCATGGCCTCTAACTTCCTTTTGGCTCCAACATCATGCAGAAAGATGTCACTAGGTGTCACCCTTGTTCAAGAAGCTGAGCAACATGCTATAGTTCATGGATTTAGTGTGTAATTTTAAGGACAGTATTTAATATCTAGATATTAACACGGTGTATATAGTTGTGTACAGTAAACTGAGTACTTACCAGTAATTCCCTTGGGACTACAATGCAAGATAAATGAAGGCAAGGCAATTCTTTATTTGATGTTTCAGTACCTATTGCCAGCTGTTTCATGATAGTAGCTAGGTTAATGCACCAGCAGAATACAGCAATCAAAACATGCTTTTCATCCAGAACAACAGATCAAAACAAATTAAGGAAGTGATGTACGAAATGAGCACAAATACTAGACTGGATCCAAACGTAATTTTTCCCGTTGGAGCAATTCAGTTTCGAGTCATAACAAAGACTTAAAATGGAACCCGATGCTTCTGCTTGTCACTCGGCATTAAGGACATGGATTGGGTCAGACTAGCGTCCTGTCCAGCAGGTGTACTTGTACATCAAGCTGCCTCACGATGCAGAAACAGGAGATTCTCAGGCTCCTGTCCTATGAGCTGTAATGGTTTGGACAAGTGGTGCATGCATATTTATTCACCCCCTTTGCTATGAAGCCCCTAAATAAGATATGGTGCAACCAGTTACCTTCAGAAGTCACATAATTAGTTAAATAGTCCACATGTGTGCAATCTAAGTGTCACATGATCTGTCACATGATTTCAGTATATATACACCTGTTCTGAAAGGCCTCAGTCTGCAACACCACTAAGCAAGCGGCACCATGAAGACCAAGGAGCTCTCCAAACAGGTCAGGGACAAAGTTGTGGAGAAGTACAGATCAGGGTTGGGTTATAAAAATATATATCCGAAACTTTGAACATCCCACGGAGCAATTAAATCCATTATTAAAAAATGGAACGAATATGGCACCACAACAAACCTGCCAAGAGAGGGCCACCCACCAAAACTCACAGACCAGGCAAGGAGGGCATTAATCAGAGAGGCAACAAAGAGTCCAAACATAACCCTGAAGGAGCTGAAAGCTCCACAGCGGAGATTGGAGTATCTGTCCAAAGGACCACTTTAAACCGTACACTCCACAGAGCTGGGCTTTACGGAAGAGTGGCCAGAAAAAAAGCCATTGCTTAAAGAAAAAAAATAAGCAAACACGTTTTGTGTTCGCAGAAAGGCATGTGGGAGACTCCCCAAACATATGGAAGTAGGTACTCTGGTCAGATGAGACTAAAATTCAGCTTTTTGGCCATCAAGGAAAACACTATGTCTGGCACAAACCCATCACCCCGAGAACACCATCCCCACAGTGAAGCATGGTGGCGGCAGCATCATGCTGTGGGGATGTTTTTCATCGGCATGGGACTGGGAAACTGGTCAGAATTGAAGGAATGATGGATGGCGCTAAATACAGGGAAATTCTTGAGGGAAACCTGTTTCAGTCTTCCAGAGATTTGAGACTGGGACGGAGGTTCACCTTCCAGCAGGACAATGACCCTAAGCATACTGCTAAAGCAACACTTGAGTGGTATAAGGGGAACATTTCAATGTATTGGAATGGCCTAGTCAAAGCCCAGACCTCAATCCAATTGAGAATCTGTGGTATGACTTAAAGATTGCTGTACACCAGTGGAACCCATCCAACTTGAAGGAGCTGGAGCAGTTGAAAAAACCCTGTGGCTAGATGTGCCAAGCTTATAGAGACATACCCCAAGAGACTTGTAGCCATAATTGCTGTAAAGGGTGGCTCTACAAAGTATTGACTTTGGGGGGGTGAATAGTTATGCATGCTCATGTTTTCTGTTTTTTTGTAATATTTCTTGTTTGTTTCACAAGAAAAAATATTTTGCATCTTCAAAGTGGTAGGCATGTTGTGTAAATCAAATGATACAAACCCCCCAAAATTCCATTTAAATTCCAGGTTGTAAGGCAACAAAATAGGAAAAATGCCAAGGGGGGTGAATATACTGTATGTAGTTACCACAATCTGTGACCCTACAATACAGTTCCCTCAGAGGTGCCTCTAGTTTTGCCGCTGACTGTTCCATTGCTAGGCACCCTGTTTGACTCTCACATTAACAGCTCTGATGCCCTCTGCATTATTAATGAGCTTTGTTGTTTGGTCACAGCTCCAATGGCACACTATTCCCCTGTGGGCCCTGGTCAAAAGTAGTGCACTAGAGAGGGAATGGGGTGCCATTTGGGACACCTTAGCATTGTCAATTATGTCACTATCTGAAGCCTGTGAGATAAGAGAGCCAGGCGCAGCAGAGATGTCCACGCAGCTGGAACGGTGATTCTGAAACAGACCAGCCTTTTCGAGTAAACCTCTCGAAGGGTGTTGACGATAGAAACGTGCCTCGATCTGTTTTTCCTTTACCATACCCTGAGGCGAGAGTGATATCAGAGACCATCAATACTAGCCTGGTTGACGCGACCCATGTCACTACAGTAGGATTTCGAGAGCTGGTGTCAGCCAGACCTCAACAAAACAGGTGATCCTCAATCAACCCCTGAGTAACTGCACTTTGAAAGTAATCGTCAATATAAATATCTGACTTTCCAGGGCTTTTATGCTGTTGCACACAGTGGGGTGTTTTTCATATTTTTCAAGGCAAAATATATTCGTTGAATAGATATAGGCTAGGACAAGGAAAAGTGTCGGGTGTGACCGATCATTTGAAAATCATCCAAAAGCTTCTGAGAGGAAAATGTATCACTATATTCAGGCCACTGTTCTGACACCTTGTAATGAGAACCTAGACACCCTAACGAATAGGGAGGATTTACACACAGAAAAAACTCATAAAATGGAATATGAATCGAGGCAATTTCTTTTCTATTTAGTGTATTCCAGTGTGTGAGAGATTAAATGTCACAAACTGAAAATTGAAATTGTAATTGTGTGGTGGCCTCAACATGCACTGTTTACGATAACACAATTTACTAGATATCTGCTAGCTGTAAAAAAATAAAAAAAAAAAAAAAAAAAAAAGAATGCCAGACTTTGATGACAAAATTTGCCCACGAACGACCGCCGCGCCACCTTCCTGTTCAAGTGAGCACAGCACAAGGTGAGTCCAAAAATGTATTGTATGTTGCTGCATAAATTATGTAATATGCCTGGGAGATATGTATACTGTAGCTAAGAAAGTAATACTACAGTAAGTGTATGTTGTGTAGTAAGCTGTTAATAGCCCATGTGCCTCACTCTAATTTGGTCTATTTTCCCCTCTTCATTTCGCCTACTGTTCTGACTTGGTGGTGCACATGGAGCCTATAACCTGTTTTAGAGAAATGTAATAATTGAATATTGTAAGAGCTTTCATTGTCTACTTATATGCCCCCTTTATTTTTCCTACGGTTCTGACTTGGTGTACAGGGAGAATACTGTAAGAACGGCCAATGTTGTATGGGACACCTTTAAATGTGCCTTTAGAGGCCATGCAATTCAGTACTCATCTCGAAAACAAAAGCAATTTAGGTCAAAAGAGTTTATACTAAGAAAGGAAATAGAAAGTCTAACAGAACAGATAGATGGCAATAAAAACTGTAACATAGAGGCTGAGGAAAAACAAAAAGAAATGGAGAAACTTATTCAAGAAAGATCAAGTGTAATATATTATAAAAATAAAGCAAACTGGATGGAATATGGGGAAAAATGCACAAAATTATTTTTTAATCTTCAACATAGGAATGCTACCAAAAAGAACTTAATGAAACTGGTTACAATTGACGGAGTCACCCATAATTCACCACATTATATTTTGAAGGAAGAAACAAAGTACTTTAAGCATATGTTTTCTTTTCAGTCGCCTCCATCTCCTCTAACTGAACTAATTGTAGAGATTTTTTTTCTATTGATAATGTCAAATTAACAGCCACACAGAGAGACTCATGTGAAGGTGAAATTACAGGAACTTCTGGATGCAATTAAAGACTTTAAGTCCGGGAAAACTCCAGGGTTGGATGGCATACCAGTCGAGGTATACCAAACCTTTTTTGATATACTAAGAGGACCGTTATTAGCATGTTTTAACCACACCTATGTAAATGGTAGATTATCTGACACTCAAGAAGAAGGTCTGATCTCATTATTACTGAAACAGGATACAAGTGGAAAATATAAAGATCCAGTCCATTTACAAAATTGGAGGCCCCTTACACTTCAGTGTTGTGATGCAAAAATCCTAGCAAAATGTATAGCGCATAGAATTAAAAAGGTATTGTCGGATATTATTCATTCTAATCAGACAGGTTTTTTACATGGAAGATACATTGGAGATAATATAAGGCAAGTATTGGAAACAATAGAACACTATGGAAAATATGGGAAACCAGGCCTGCTATTCATAGCAGACTTCGAAAAGGCATTTGATAAAGTTCGACTGGGGTTTATATATAAATGCCTGGAGCATTTCAATTTTGGAGAATCTCTTATAAAATGGGTCAAAATCATGTATAGTAACCCTAGGTGTAAAATAGTAAATAATGGCTATTTCTCAGAATGTTTTAAACTGTCAAGAGGAGTGAAACAAGGTTGTCCACTATCGGCATATCTATTTATTGTGGCCATCGAGATGTTAGCTATTAA